ACGGGTTCATTGCTTCCCTCCCAAAGTCTGACCCAGGAGCAAACATCTTCTGCCCTAGATCCCAAGGTCAACAGGAGCTAAAACCAAGCCTCAGGCTCTTGCATCTCCTCCTGCTGTTTCCCTGGACAAGTTTCCTGGGTGATATTCCAACACAATGAGAACCCGGCCCCCAGCCCAGGAAATCCTCCCCAAAAAAGCCATTATTGAGTTTGAAGGTGAAGGAAGGTTGTGATGAAGTGCCTGTAAAGTCAACCACACATCAGCTTTTGGGCCGAGAAAGTGGACGTGGAGCCAGGTAATAACCACAAATTGCTGCTGCTTCTGCTTCTCCAGGTGGTCTCATGTGGCCTGAGATTCATTGCAGAGACCTGAAGAGCTGCAGGAGCTGCCACCACCCACCATCACCCTCCCCAGCCCTTGCTGCCATCCCACCTGCAAACGGGACCAGCACCGTGGTGGTGTCACCCTCAAGGTGAGGGATTTGGAGCACGAGAGGTACAGAGAAACTTTTTTCTTCTCTCAGACAGGAAGGTAGTGAAGAAAAGAACACCTGGGAGCTCCTTTGTTGGCTGCAATGTTCCCAAGGAACTAATTATTCTGATTACATCCCTTCCCTGGGAGGGTGGGGAGGCCCTGGCACAGGTTGTCCAGAGAAGCTGTGGCTGCCCCATCCCTGGAAGTGTCCAAGGCCAGGTTGGAGGGGATTTGGAGCAACCTGGGCTAGTGGGAGGGGTTGGAATGAGATGATCTTTAAGGTCTCTTCCAACCCAAACCATTCTGGGATTCTATTACTTGAGGAAAAACATTGTGTTTCCTGACTGACTGATGCTCAGCATCCAAAAAAGGGCCTGGGGTGAAGACACAGTGTTTGATGTTTGGCTCAGGCCAGAGTTTCCACACCCCCCTTCCCTGCAGTTCAGCCTCCTCCTTCCCCCTCAGGGGGGTTGCAGGAGCACAGACAGCCCAGCCTGGGGTCACCCACCATGGTGACAGCGGCTGTGGAGCCACCTCTGACCCTCAGGGATGGTTCTCCACGTGCAAACTGCACTCGAGGAGCACCGTGCAAAGTGTCCAACTTCTGTACAGGCAACAGGGGAGTGACCCCAGAGGGGTCTCTTTAAATTAGGGCTGTGGGTGGCAGGTCTGCCTCAATAATCCACAATAATTTGCCTTTCAAATCTTGGGCACCAAGCTCGAGCAGCCTGTGAATCGCAAGATCTTCAGTGGCAATATTTAAGGAGCAATTTGGTTTTGTCCAACTTGCCCAGTCTTGTTTCAGATGAAACGTGAAAGTCCATTTTCCACGCTGGCTCTTGGAAATTACAGAATCCCAGAACGGTTTGGGTTGGAAGAGACTTAAAGCTCATCTAATTCCAACCCCCTGCCATGGGCGAGGACACCTTCCCCTATCCCAGGTTGTTTAGAAATTGCTGCTGTGGGTCTGTGGCCAAATAAAAAAACAGAAAACCAAATTGTCCCTTCTGCCCCAACTCTGTCCTAGAAAAAAACTCCCAACGCCTTCTCAAAAGAGCAGCTCACAATGGGGATGGGATTTCTTTTGTTCCAGAGTTTCCAAGCTGCTGGAGAACCACGGTGTATTGTTTCAGAAAGGGGCAGGAGTTTAGTTTTGGAAGAAGGAAGGTGTAACAAATAATTCTCACTTTTCTTGGCAGGGACCGTGGTGAGCTGGAAGCAGGGCCTGTGTTTCAAGTGAACAATTCTCCTGCTGCCCATGGGCCCCTGAGCTGCTCCTCGGGGGTTGGAATAGGAGGGTACCATTCTTCAGCACCTCCTGGCATCCTTCCACAGGAGGTTTGGCTGTGGAATTTCTGGTGAGAGGGTCCTGCTGCTTTGTTAGACAACAAAGAAAAATCAGAGCTGGTCTGCGCTGTGGTGCAGAGGAAGACGAGCTGAAAACACCAGGAAGGTGGAGCCTGACTCTCAAACCAGGCTGGTCATTGGGATTCCCTATTTGGGAATGTGCTGGTGGAACAAGGAGCCTCACACAGGTCTTTGTAAAGTCATTTAAAATCTTGGTCTGGGCTAGGGTGTGAGGGGGGCTGCTCTACACTCAGGCTGTGTATCATGGAATTTGTATGATTTATGGGAACCCTATAGCTGGAATAAAATTTCAGGGGTCAAGAGGTGAGATGAAGAAACAGAGAAATGAGGGTAAATAGCAGGAGTAGTTCCCTGACAGAGAATCCCACTGTGCTGCCAGTCAGGCCTGTGGACAGGGGAGCACAAATCTGCCACCAAGTGTGATGCAGGGAATGAGCCAGAACTGACAGGAGACAGGATGGGTGGATGTGGAGCATGGATTGCACAGAAATCATTGCCCCTGGGCCTTTCTACCTTATAGTCCCCTCCCAGAAGCTGGAGTTCTGTCAGAAAAAGGCAGGATTGTTCAAGGACAAATATGCCCAGCCCTGGAACCATTCAGGAACAGTTTTCCTGGAAAAAAATCCTTGAAGAGCCAATTTTTTTTGGTACTGATTAGCATGAAAAGTGCCATAGGCTTGGCTTCCTTCAGCCAGAGAGAGCTGATACCCTCTTTATTGACTTTGATTCATCTGAAATTAAAGGGATCACCAGAGGCTGATCTGATGCTGTGACACGCTCACCATTTTAGCAGCCAGATGATTTAACGACCCATCACTTAAAAAGCATCCTTTGGCTTAGCACCTCTGGCTGGAGCATCAGCTGTGAGAGCCTGTCAGACTCCAGGTAGCTTGGGGAGAGCAGGAAGAGGAGGACAGTCCCCTCCAGCCAGCAGAAATCAGGATAAACCCAATGTGACTGCACTGAAGGTGATGGAATGACACCAGTGTCAAAGCAGAGGAGAAACAGCTTCATCAGTTCTGTTGGGGCAATAAATGCCTTGACTCCTAATTACTGACTTCAGAGCCCAAGATTAGAGTCTTTAACTCCCAAAAGGAACATTTTTATTCCTGCTTTTGACTTCGACCCAAACTCCAGTCCTTGCATGTCCTGCTGCAGGATTTGTTTGCTACAGTTTTCCCAAACTTAGAGTCATCATCAAATTCCAACAGCAGCCTGTTCCTCGAAATCATGCCTTGTGCAAGGATTCCTTGAGAGCAGCAGGGATAGGTGGGGGTGCCTCCATAGCAGGCAGAACTTGCCAGCCTGCAGACCACAGGCCAGCTGGCAAATCCCGTAGGAACTCCATGGTGGTGCTGGTGGAACTGGGCTGTGGAAAGCGCAGCAGGTATTTCTGTCTCTGCTGGTGTCACTGTTTGAATGTGCAGCACCACTGGTGGGTGTTTGCCCCTCAGGGGAGGACTTCAGCTCTGGCTTCCTTCCTCAGCTGGAGTCACCACGTTGAGGAAAATCCCCATTCCAGGGCAGTTTTTCCCACTCCTGTCATTACGCAGAATCCCAGAATATACTGAGTTGGAAGGGACCCACAAGAATCATCCAGTCCAACTCCTGGCCCTGCACAGGCCCATCCCCAAGAGTCACACCCTGTGCCCCAGAGGATCATCCAAACCCTCCTGGAGCTCTGGCAGCCTTGGGGCTGTGCCCCCCAACCAGCCTCTGGGGGAAGAACCTTTTCCTGGGATCCAACCTGACCCTGCCCTGACACAGCTCCAGCCATTCCCTGGCTGCTGTCCCCGGTCCCCTCAGAGCAGAGCTCAGTCCCTGCCCCTCCTCTGCCCCTCCCCAGGAAGGTGGAACTGCAGGGAGGTCTCCCCTCAGTCTCCTCTGCTCCAGCTGAACACACCAAGTGCCCTCAGTGTCCTCACACGGCTTCCCCTCCAGGCCCTTCCCCATCTCTGTTCCCTCCTTCAGACACTCCCTAATGGCTTAAATCTTCCTTGTGTTGTGTCCCCCAAAGTTCCCCACTATTGCAGGGGAGGGACCCCAGGGCAGAGCAGGGCAGGACAATCCCCTCCCTGGTGCCCCCAGGACAGGGATGGCCCTCCTGGCTGCCAGTGCACTGCTGGCTCATGGCCACTTTCCAGCATCACATTCCCAGTCTGTCCATCCATCTGCGGTTGCCCCATCCTGGGGGTAGAATGTGGCGCTTCCCCTGGTTGAACTTCCCATGGTTGGTGATTCCCAGCCCTTGGATCTGTCGAGGTCTCTCAGCAGGGCCTCCCTGCCTTCCAGAGACTCAACAGCTCCTCCCAGTGTTGTGTCATCTGCAAATCTGCTCAGTGTCCCTCCCTGTCCCGTGTCCGAGTGATTTATGGAGGTGTTGGAGAGCACAGGGCCCAGGAAGGAGCCCTGTGGAGCCCCACTGGTGGCAGGTCACCAGGCCCTGTTGGAGGCTATTCCACCCCTGGCCATGACAACACCTATGGAAAGCCCTGCTGGGTCTGTTTGGACACTTCCCAGTGTGACTGAGGTGGCTGTGGAGCTCTCTCTGCCCTGTGATCCCACGGCTGGGGCTGAGCCTTGATGTCACCAGGAAGGTGACAATGTGATGGCTGCTCCCAGCGGTACTGCAGGGCTGAGGGATGAGGGGCTGGATGGTCCCTTAGGATGCACAGAGGCCCTTGGGCAACCTGGACCGAGCACCAGGTCATCTCTGATGAACCTGTGACGCGGGGGTGACACAGAGGATCAGCATTCCCAGAGCCAGGTGGGAAGGAATGACCTCCTCTGGGAGCCATCCCAGGTATTTTTGTCCTGAGTCAGGATTTAAGGAACTTCCCAGCTTCCTGGCTGAGCCTCACTAAGCTCAGACTATGAGATGAGCTCAACCTCAGCCCAGCCAGGTCTGTGCTTACAGGTCCTGCTGCCTTTCTAGCACAGGAGAGGAGTGGGTTTGGAAGAACCAATGATTTCATATTTTACAGGTCGTGGAGATTTGTATTATTCACTTATTCACATAAAATCCACAGGTATTTTTATGGTAAGTTTTTGGGTTTGTTTTTATTTTAAAACCAAAATGAGTAGAGAAGGAGGTAAATGTAGAAAAATGCATTTTCGGGGTTTTTTTAAAGATTTTTTTCATCTTTTCAGGTGCTATTTCCTTTAAAAATTAGCTCAAAAATGTTACAAATTACTCCAAAAAGATCAAAAGCCAGAGGTTGTTTTTCCATGAGCATTTGAGGTGCTGTGGAGGAGAGGAGAGGAGGAGATGGTGCCCAAGTGGGTCCTGGACCTTTCCATACCAAAATGCCTCTTCCTCAGACCTCCCAAAGTTGCCTCACGGGGGGGGGGGGGGAAGCAGCCTGAGGATGAAGAAGGTCCCTGGGGTTGGAACTGGGTGATCTTTTAGGTCCCTTCCAATCCAAACCATTCCGTGATCCTCTGAAGATGTGGGAAATTTTGGTTAAACACACGGAAAGAGCCCCCTGTCCCCTCCTGGTGGCTTTGCCAGTGGTGCCCCTGGACATCTGGAGCCAAGCAATGGGAGTTGCTTCGTTTTCTCTTCTGCTCAGGGGGATGTTTTCCCACGCACTGGAACTGTGATTTGGGCACAGTTCTCACCCAGCAGAAGAGAAACTATTGTTGCTGTGATTGTGCTGACACTGATTTTTAATGGTTTGTTGTTTCCATGCTAGAGGAGCTTTATCAGAGGGTGAGAAACTGGAAGAAAGAGAAGCAGAAGGCCCTAAGCAGGGCTGACTTAACACCCAAAGGGGTTGGGTGCTGGGCATGAGGCGAGCAAGCGATGTGGGACAATAACTGAGTCGTAAGTGCCACGGGTTTATTTGCAACCCATCGTTTCAGGGCTGAGAACTGGCCGGGCTCGCAGCCCTGAGAGTGGAACAGCCGGCACCCAGCGGGCAGGTCCTCATCTGGTTCTGCAGTCTGCTGCCTTCAAAGGTCTTCCTTTTGGGTGCCCTTAATCCCACTTTACCCAGGACAGGCGGGCTGTGAGATCTGCAGGGAACAAGGGAGAAAGGAAAACACGGGAAACACTTCAAACGCATTTAAATTAGCATTGAATGAGTCGACTCTTCAGCCTCTCCAGAAGAGGAGCCTCGTTCATTTGGCTCTTTCCAAGTGCAGCTCTTCAGGAATATTAGTTAACTAGAAGCCTGACAACAGAGGTGATCCCAATGTGTTGTTTAAAAACCTGTTTATCTGTTAAAAGCTGGAGAAGCTGGACAATAAAATATAAATATTCTCTGTAGTCAAGAGAGTTGTGGTCAGTGGTATATCAGGAGTAATTTTCCCGGTCATGTAGCTGATGGGAATGAATAGGAAAGGAGAAAAAGACTCAATTAACTTTTCTTTTAAACTAAATTATTGCTTTTTCCCTTCAGGCTCTGTCCCTTGGACACTTCCCTGGGAAGTGAAAGGGGAATGTTTTTATTCAATGACTTTTCTTGGATTTTGTGCTCCACTTTTGAAGGCTCAACATGGTTCAAGGCCTGTTTCCAAGACATGACAAACTCCAAAGGGACAGGGATAGAAAGGGAGTTAATTAACTTATAATGCAAAGTGCCAAGAACTACTGAAAATCTCCCTCTGCTCCTCCCTGCTCTCAGCAGCACAAACCCCATGTTGGGCACTTGGGCAATTTCCCATCTTCATATACTGATGAAACAATATATTCTGGAGGAAGAAAGGACTAAATTCATCCCACCTAAGTCAGGATTGAGTACAAACCAAATAAAACCAGAATAACAGCCCTTCACTTTAAAATAGAAATATTTATGTAAGAGTAAAAATTGCAAATAGGTGTTTGTTCCCCTATACTTTGGAAATAACCTGAAATTTGAATGCTCTCTTTTGTGTATCCTGCCTCTGTAACTCTTGGTTACTAGAACATATGTATTTTAAGAAATTAAATATTTCATTAAATATTTAAGAAATTAAATGCTATCTGTGTTCACAGACAGGTGTTTTTCTCAGTCAAGTACAGGCTGAAAAAAACTTATAAAGAAAACAAAGAAAATCTCTACAGGCTCCCTCAGCTTGCATCATAAAAGATCAATTTTGCACAGAATTGATAAAAAGAACAGTCTAAAAATATATTCTGAGAATAAAAATCGTGTTTGTCAAAGGAGCCATTTCCATGAGCTTAGTAAGTTGTTTTGAGGGAGTTTATTTTTTTAAGAACAAATCCTTCTCCAAAGAAAGTCAGAAGGAAAAGCTGAGTTATTTTAATTTTGACTGTGAGTTTACTCAGCTCCTCTTTTTTGAAGGTGATTTCTCTGCTGTCAGAGCCACTTGGACGTTATAAGTTGGGGTTCAAAAGCAATTTGATGCTCTTCCACTGGCGGCCCAAAGCATTGCTCTGACAGGACCCGAGGGAGCGGCTGGAGCTGTGTCGGGGGAGGTTTTGGTGGATCTCAGGGAAAGGTTCTTCCCCCGGAGGGTGGTTGGCACTGCCCAGGCTCCCCAGGGCAGTGGGCACAGCCCCAAGGCTGCCAGAGCTCCAGGAGGGTTTGGACAACACCCTCAGGGACAGGGTGGGATTGTTGGGGTGTCCTGCGCAGGACCAGGAGTTGGACTCTGAAATCCTTGTGGGTCCCTTCCAGCTCCGGATATCCCGTGATTCCATGTGATTCTGCTCCCCAAAAACCCCCTTCCCCCGTCACTCACCGCTGGTGTTCCAGGCTGCGGGCGCTTGGCCCTGCCAGCCCTTCCTCAGGCACTGCTCCACGTAGGCCCGGGGGTGGCAGCCGGAGAGCAGGATGTCGCGGAGCAGCGCGATGTAGGCGATGGCCAAGCGCAGCGTGTCGATCTTGGACAGGCGCTGCTCGTAGGGGAAGGTGGGCACGTGGCCCCGCAGCCGCTCGAAGGCCGCGTTGATGCTGAGCATCCTCCTCCTCTCGCGCAGGTTGGCGGCACGGCGATGCCGGCGGCGCCCGGGGGGCTGCGCCGGGCCGGGGGCACCCTCTGCTCCCCCCTGGGCCGTCCCCGCGCAGGAGGACGGGTCCTCCAGGCACGGCCAGTCCAGCAGGAAGTTCTCCAGCTGGGCCTCGGCGTCCGCCTGGTCCCACCAAAGGAATTCAGTGGGGTCTTCCCGCTCGAAGCCGTAGCAAAGCTCCTCCATGAGGAGCCACCGGTTCTCAACCGACCTCAAGAAATGCTCGCAGCTTCAAGGGCTCTGTGAGGTTCTAATCTCTAATTGTCGGGGAGTCCTGGTTGTGTCCTTGAGGAAGAACATCCTCGAAAGATGCAAAATCCAAGCGGGACTCATGATTTAAATACTTGGTGGCTCCCCAGCAGGGGAATAATCCCATTCTTCTCCACTGCAAACTAATTAATCCGTGTACTTCTCTTTTTATCAGCTGTTGACTGCAAAACAATGCGAATGAATCGAAGGCAGAATGAGGTTTTTATCGGCTTTCTCCTGGAAAATCCATTGAAGCTCTTGCCCAAGTCCAGTCTGTCCACTTCCTCACACAGGGGGTTTTGTTGTTATTGTTGTTGGGTTTGGTTGGGAAACAAGTAAATGGAGTCCTTTATCTTTCTGGTGAAGTGTTAATAGCCCTCCCCCTCCCATGGCTGGACAAACAACATGGTATTGTAGTGCTGTCAGAAACACCTGATTCTGCCCTCTCTGGCAGCAGGAGCCCGTGGCATCTTCTGCTCTTCCAGCCAGAGGAGGTGTGGGATGTACTGCACGGTGACATTGGAACACAGGGGTACCTCATTTAATAACCAACACCACCTCATTTGCTTACTGCATGTCCTCATTTACACTGACAGGACACATTTTGTGGCCTATGTGACATTTGGGGCTGTCTCAGACCAGGAAATGAGAGCAACTAGAATAACCACAATGGACACAGCCCTAGAATGGTTGGACCAGCTGGGAGAGAAGAGCTGGAAACTGGGAGAGTGGCAGGTGGGAGGTGCAAAGCACTACCAGAACTTTAAAGCAAGTGCAGGACATAAATGTGTTCTTCACTCTCTCCTATTTCCACAATGTTTAAGCCAAGGTTTAAATGAATTCAGAAATAGTTTAAGTCGTATTTTAAGGATTTAAATAAACAGAAACATGTTTTAAGTTAGAGCAAACCTAAATGTTTTTCCTGAAGCATCTCGTAAAGAACTTTTATAAAGATACTTAATCATATCCTTGAGTTCATGCACAGACTCGTGTCCTGCTGCTGCTTAAAATTTTAGGAGATGTCTCCTGTGAAGTTTGGGAGCCCCAGGCAGCTGCTGACAGGACAAAGCTCAGTAGCTTCAGATAAAGAGCCAGGGAGCAGAAAATGACCTGTGTTTTCCATGGATCCCAAAGGATGATCAGGTTCTCCATCTAACAGTGGGAGCACTCCCGGCAGCTTTTCTCTGGGAATGGATGGATTGATTTTAAGATAAGGCACAGGCTACCGATGCCTCTTCTTAGTAACCTGGGATTTGGCTTGTGGCAATTCTACCTGCTCCAGGAAGTTTAAGGCAAAGGAAAACAGGCTGCAGGAAAGATTTTGGCAGAGTAGTTGTGAGAAGGTGACAGTTTATGAAACCCTTGGACTCTCTTCTTGTGCAAATTGAACAAGAAAGGGAAATACCAAGTGTGACAGTCACAGAATCCTCAGGGTTGGACGAGAGAGGGCAAACAACTGTTAAATAATTAGAGTGTGTTTTGCCTCCTCTGCTCAGCTGGGGGCATGAATTTTACGATGGTTTTGTACAAAAGTGAATAATTTGTCATGGCACCAACAACCAAATGTTGGTATTGTGAAAGTCTGTAGTGATGGACAGCTTTTGTTCCAGGTGAATCCCAGGGACAAGGAAAGGATGCAGGACAGGTGAAAGGAATGACCAGGGAGAAAAGCTGAGACTGGAACTTGCAGTTCACTCTGCAGTGGTTTATTTTAAGCCATAGAATCCTTAAGGCTGGAGAAGACCTTTAAGTTCACCAAGTCCAAGTGTCCATCCAGCCCAAACCTGATCCCTGTATTTCCCAGTTCCCAAAAGGAACAACTCACTGCCTGTTCTCCGTGGGGCTCTCCCACAGCTCACTGCTTAATTCAGCACGTGCTTGGGTCAAACATAAGACACTTGAAAACCCCCAAATCAGCAGGAGAACAGCAGGTCTTCTCCTGAGCAGGGCTCTGGAGGAGACAGGGTGAGTTTTAAGTGCTGGGTTCCTCCTCCTCAGCAGATGCTTCCTCAGCGCTGAATGTTCCCTTCCAGAGCCATCAGTGCTAATGTTGCCTGGGGATATGTCTGGCTCCACAGATGGAGAGCAGATGTTCCAGCAAAGATCCTTTTAGCATGTTCACGGGCAATTTGGCTCTCTCAGAGAGACTCTGGACAAAGCAGAAGGGGAGGAGGGGAAGAAAGAGGGAAAATAAGGAAAGGTTTCCCCTTAGAAAGCCAGCCCAGGGCTCAGGAGAGAGGATGAGGTTCCCATTCCTCACCCTTCCACAGCTTTGTGCTCCCAGTGTTTCTGCAACTTTGTTCATCAGAGACAGAGGGAATGTACCACTAACTGGGCTAATTTTGCACTTCTCTGGAAGCTGCTGGTGAGGGAATCTGCCCCAGGGAATGAGGTACCAAGGGTACCACCCTCAGTGGGGCGGCTGTACGTTATGACATGTGGCTGATATTTCCAGATCTGCTCAAGTGCTATTTCCTCCCAAATATATTCAGGTCCAGTGGGATCCAGAAATAGCATTTGACTGCTGGTCATTTTTGATCAGCAGGGTCTGATGAAAACAAATTATTGATTGAGAAACTTTGCCCAGGATTATTGTCCACAATAAGCAATGGAGCCATCACTGCTGGGGTTTGGATTTTCCAGATCTAGATAGCAACATCTCCCTTTAACATTTTCCCTATTCATATTGGGAACCACCTTCTTCAGTCTTGTCCCCCTTCCTCTGTCACCTGCACAAATCCACCCACAGCAGTCTCTGTGACTTTCCCCATTCCATAGAATTTTGGGTACAAATCTGCTTTTAGGGAATGTTTCTACTACAGATTGTTTTCTTTACTGTGCCTTAGCAGCTAAAAGCTGTTTCCCTGTACCTGTATCCCAAAAACCCCAGGGTCACCTGAGGCTATTTGGGAGGAAGATTTTTCTCTCCTTTTCTTGTCCCATTTACCTTATTTCAGACTCAGTGAACCTTCTCAATGACATTGAGAAACCTCCCAGTGCTGACAAAATGACATTATTATTATTATTATTATTATTATTATTATTATTATTATTAATATCTTCTCTTTTTCTTTGCTGAGGATTTAGTCTGAATATGTTTCCATCATCTTTAATGGCTTAATAAAGGGGGTCAGTCCTTGGCCTGGGCAAAGAACAGATGGAGAAAGGACCAGATGCTTTACTTTCAAGTGGGATGACTCCGAAGCACAAGTGCATCGTGTCATAGCTGCTAATCCAACATTACACTGTGCAGCTTGGGGAGCTGCATCCCAGATGGACAGAGAAGTCCAGAGGAAAGATGCCAAAAGTGTTGGGGAATGTTTTATCCCGGTGGGACAGTGCAGCTCCTGGTGGGGTGGCTCCCTTTTAACACGTGGTAGCAGAGGCACTGCCAAAATAAGATGTGAGAGGGACCTCCAGGACCTGAGTCACCACCCTTTATCCTACAGATCCTGCACCTCCTTTGGAGCCACGTGCAGTCCCTGGGACACCTGAATTAGCAGGCACGTTTTTCAGTGAAGTGCTGGGGGCAAGAAAAGTGCAAGTATTATCATTTAACAGTGGAATGTGCTTCTTTTTAACCTGAAACAATTGCAAAGGGAAAGGGCCTAATGAAAAGCAGCCGAAGGATTCCCAGGGCAAGAGGATTTCAAAGGGCTAATGGCCATTTCTGAGCTGCTGGAATAACTGTGAAACAAAACCTTTGTAGGATGTTGATTTAAGTAAAGAAGGTAACAGGACCTTTATTATTCCCAGGGTAGAAACATCGATTGTGTGATCAGATGTCAAAGTTTGAGGAGGAAGGCACCGGTGGATGGTTGTTAATACAACTTTGATTTAGTTGATTATTCCTATAAACTAGTTAAGGTAGCCTTGGCTTTAAACTCTTTGGTGTTTAGAAGTGAACACAGTCACTTTACCCTTTCTGCAGGGTGTTTGCAGAGTCACACCAAATCAACCCCAGTCTCTGGGACAAGGGGGGGATTTTCTCTAATAAAAACACTCACTGGTGGTTTCCACTTTCTCACAGAGCTTTTTATGGGTTGGGGGGTGACCTCTGGGCTCTTGCTGCCAAATAATTCCTAATCCAAGTCACTGCCCTGTGGCTGCTTGGATGAGTGAATGGTCATCTTTGGGAGACAACGTGGATGTCAGCCTGTGCTGGATGGAAGAGCTCCTGGGGACTCCTGAAGGAATGTGGTGTTCCTTGGGCAGTGGCCTTGGGAATGCTGCTTCTCCTGTGCTTCTCTGTGGCTGGTTGTTCACACTTCCACCCCTGGAAGTGTCCAAGGCCAGGTTGGACGGGGCTTGGAGCAACCTGGGCTAGTGGGAGGTGTCCCTGCCCACAGCAGGAGGCGGGATGAGATGGGATTTAAGGTCCCTCCCAACGCAAACCATTCCATGATTCTACAATTCTTGAATCATCTGGAACATCCCCCTGGCAAGGTTAACGTAATGCTGCATCCAGGGATTGCAGGCAGTTCCCATGGATAACCTTATCTCCATATTCAACCAGAAATATCTCTAGGGAGAGGAAAAACTGTCGCTCATGTGACATCTTATGCTGTAATTAGAGGGTTTATTTGGATATCTCCAAGTGGTGACTTGCTCCAAGTCATGGGATGGTGACTTAGCCATCAGGAACTGAGAAAATCCTTCTGAGCCTTCCTTTTTGAGGAAAACAGGAAAGTTTGGGTTTGGTTTTGCAAAGCCAGGGTAGACAATATGTTTTCTGCAAGGTGCATGTGCAGTTTTTAAAGAGGTGGGGTTTCCATCCATGAAACCACAGGTGCCCTTTCACTGGGTACAAGAAATCCTGAATATCTGTTTGTCATCAGGATTTAATGAAAAAAGAGGCCCAAACAACCCAAAACAACAACAAACAAAACAAAACAAAACCAATCCACTGTCTTCCACAGCTGTACTAAGGTTTTTTTCTTTAGCCTTTCTGCTTTCCCCAAGGAGAGAGTGGATGAGGAGACACAGCCAAAAAAGGTGGGACAGAGGGGAGACCTATGCTTGTGCAGCTCCAACTC